AATCCTTGACAAAAATATATTTTATTTTTTTATTAAAATAAATTTTATCCATAATCTTTTTTAAATTTAAGTATTTTTTGTAAATGTAAATATAAATACTTTTTTGGTATATTTGTTTTATTTTATAGATTTAAGTATTTTTTGTTCAAAAAATATTTAGGGACTTAATCGTTCAGAATATGAAAGTCCATTGGCCCATTTTTAGACTTTTTCTTCATTTTTTCACATTAATTAGTTTATATGTCATAAAAATGTATATCTAACAGGTTTAGAAAGTTCAAAGAGTTAAAACATGTTTTAAAATGTCCAATGACTTATTTGTTCCAAAAAATTTGTCAAATGACTTAATCATTCCAAACATTAAAGTCCATTTGGTTTTTTTAGACTTTTCCCTTAAAAGAAACCTCACCGTATGAAGGGTCTCCATCGGTCCCACAGTTTTAGGCAGAGAGCCGTATTATGTTATAAATCGCTTGAGACATTGCACGTTTTTTTTTTCCTGGTATTACTCGAATAATCAACGATCTTGAATAATTTAAATTATGTTGTAGGATAACTATGCTATCGTCTAAATAATATGACAATAGAGATAGATATTATATTAGAAGTGAAATATCTCATAGTTATCTACTTGTAACTCATCTTTATAAATAAATAAAAACTTATGATTGATGAGAATTACATATTCCTTCTATCTATTCAATTGTTGTTATTGTTTTCCAGTTATTCTATAACAAATTATGTTTATTTATTGTTTTCCAGTTATTCTATAACAAATTATGGCAAAAGTACTAGAAGGTCCCAGGTTCAAATCCAAGGAGGAAAAAAAAATCCTCTTGTGGCCACGGAGGTTCAAATACGGTGACTCCGGGCTATCTGCAAAGCAGGTGGTCGCTCTGGGATTAGTTGGCTCGCATAACAGGTTGGATATCCAGGTTAATAAAAAAAATTATGTCAAAAAAATGTTTTATAACATGTGGGTTATGGTGTGATGTTGGTGGCATTTGGAAGGAGCATTAAGCCAAGACCAGTCTTTTTATAACAAAATGTAGCAGACTTTCAAATATTCTTATTTCACATCAATTTTGAGTGATAACGGGTGAAATAAGTTGAATTTTATTGATGTGAAAACTATTTTTTTAAAGTGAAATAGAAAATAAAATGCAGTAGATTTGTATTTGTTCTTATCTAATGTAATGATGAATTTTTATTCTCCATCAATGTGACGTATTCTCGAATATTTCTTCCGGTACTTGTTCTGACCAATAACCAGTTAAATAATTTAGTACTGAAAAGAACAGTTGAACTGAAAGTTTTAAAGATCTTGAAGGGGTTTAACATCGAAAAAGGACAATCAATTGAACCATAAACATAATATCACGTGTTGATTTCCGTTAACAACATTTGTCAACTCAACAAATCGGTGTCCCTTAACTTGATTATTAGGTCAATATATCGTATATCAAAATAAGACGATTTAAAAGTTTGTTATGCTGCTTTACAATATCACATGCTATTTTTTTTAAGAAACAACCGTCAACTCAGCAAAAAGAACATGTGTTACGTAAGATTTTACTCGATTATTAGGTTAATTAGTATGAATATAGAAAAAGTTTGAAAACTTTTTATACCAATCAAGAAAAAAAAATCATCATCAGATTAGAATATAAATTAAGACAAACTTTGTTAAATTTTAATGTAGTTAAATTGACTTTAATTTTCTTTTTCTTTTTGTAACAAACAATCGAATTTAAATAAAACCATCAAGAAGTTGTTATAAAAAATTAGATTTTTTAGGATAAAATATAAAATGGTCTAATAACTATTTTTAGGATAAAATACATTGTGAAGGATAACAAACCTTCACATGAAAATATGTTAGAAATGGATAATGTTGTTTGGACGCCTACTAAAGTTGGGACTCGAGCTCAAGTTCATGGATTTGGTTCGAGAAAGGGTGGACGAAAGACTTTGGTTGAGCAATCCGGTCCTTGACGGATCTCTAAATCCTTAGAAAAAGTCCCACAAGTGACAAATTCCTAAATCTGTTGTTGCATTTTTTCACAGTATAATTGTTAGAATCTAACATAGCTAGACTTGAACACTTTCTCTATATGGGAACTCTTATTCTCTTCATAACGGCTATTTCAGAGAGTATTTTAATGGGGGCTATATCTTAGCCAAAGACTACCATCTGCATCTAGGACATCTTTGCCCGGGACTCGACACTCCGGGTCATCTTTGCCTGTCTAGCCTCTGTTGGGAGAAGTTTGTTACAGTCCTATATTGGCTAGACAGACACTTTCACTTTAATATATGTTAGAACCCCCTTTCTCTCCTTAAGAGCTACCTTAATCTAATGGGGTTCTACGGATTCTCACAATAACAATATATACGTATGTACGATCATGCATATAGATATACATGAGAAAGGTTGAGTTTCGGTGAGAATGGAAGTTATGATGAGAAGAGTAAGAAGGGATCTTCACCCTTGGATTAATCCTAATTGAAGATCAAGACTAATATGGCACGAAATCAATTCCTGTGATAAGTGCAATTCATGGGTTGGGGATGAGATTAAAAATGATCAAGGGTCCAGATTCATTCTTTCGCTTTTCAGTTTTACTTTTATTCTCCCACGATCCTTCGTCTACTGGGGAAAGTGCAAATGAGTAAATATTTTGAGAACCACGGACCAACTATATTATGAGTTATTAATGATGAGTAGAGAAGGGGGGTCTTATCAACACACTAAGACCTGGTTATATGATATTTGACCATTTCAATTTTAAATTAAATCACCAACTGTGATGAAAGCAATTCACTCTTTAAATTTCTATTAAAACCCACATATCATCAAAGGTTGCAATTTTCATATAGAAGCAAATGGTGTTTTTATGGTATGGAAACAAAAATAGAAGTGAGACAGTGACAGAAAAAGGACAATAGAGCAGTTTGATGTAGTAGTTACCGGAAAACCAAGCTATGCTGTTGCTGCCATATTTGATTAAGAAGTTGCACTCGCACATATAGACACTAACCTGGTCACAAGCACCAGCCTATAAACATAATGCCAGTCTCCACCTGCTAATACGTGTTCATCAGCCGTGCAACAGGTATCCGAGGTAAAGGCTAGCAACTGCCACCACAAAAACAAACACCAATTGGAATCCAATCTGCGCTCTTGGTTCTGTGCTTCGTTCGGTTCTCAGTTTGCTGTCCTGTGAATCAAATGAATCTCAGTCAAAAGTCGTCAAGAAACATCGAGTATTGAATAAAGAATTTAGTGCAGATCTGGTTCATGTCGACTTACAAACTAATGTAATTGTATGTTGGTGCAAATGGAAGATGTTATATACTTGAAAGGACATTCCAAAACATATTTAGGATATCAATGTTAGGATTCCAAAGGCCATGTCACAACTAACAGCAGCTAATTCTTTCTTTTTTCACAAGGATTAAAATTTATCTTCTTGGTTGAAGCCAAAATATGTGACAAACGAGATTATTAGAAGTATCACAAGATCTTGTTTATGGATATTCTGGTTGGATAAGAGTCTCAAACAAGTTAGTTCCAGTGATATGTACAAAAATAGTCGCACAAAAAACCTCATATTTGAACTTTTTAACAAACTGCTTTTTTCCATTTAAAAACAAGCCTTATTTACCTTCTAACAGAGGTCACTATTGAACTCTTCATGGTCTGCATCAGATAAATCCAGAAAAGAAGCTTCCAAAAGATTAAGAAAAGAAACTGCTAATCCACTTTAGATGATTCATACTACAGGTTGATGACATACGTTAAAACCGCTGATTTTCCATGGACTTTTTGAGGGGCCGGAAACAACATTGACTAGTAAGATGAGCATAAACCAAAAGTATACTCGTAATTGACCTGTCTAAGAATTGACTCGAGTTCTCTCAGTTTTGACTTCATCTCTTCTACATCGTTGGATAATCTCAGCTCTTCTGTATGCTTTCTCTCTATAGATTGTTCATTCTTCACTGTCTCTACAAGTCGACTACCTCTTCTGGACACCTCTATTTCTATGTCCTCGTCAACCTTGCATAAGTTTGAAATTAGCAATATAACAACCATTTCTCTATAAACAGAACTAAAAATTTACAGTTGAGGAACACAACTGAAAGCACCAGACAGAAGTGCCTACCTCAGGACTACTTCCAAATTAAAAACCAACAATATATGTAACCAAACGGGGACTATGACTAATTACAAAAGAAGTTAAATTTATATCAAAACTGCCCAAAAGATCACGTACAAATATTTAAAATGAATATAGCAAAAGAAACATATTTTTAGATGATATACAACAATGAAATGTAAGACGCACAATTAAATCGTGATCTCAGAAATCCCACACCAACACCTCCCACATACAATAACGTTGCGTTCTCGAAACTCATTTACGCAGGAAAGTAAAGGAAAGGAAAATGAGGGAAAGGTGAAGAAAATGAAAAAACTCGTGTTCTTGAAACTCTTTTATGAGAGAAAGGAAATGAAATGGAAGGAAAATAATGATGAGTTTCCTTCCAAAACTTTCCTCCCAAAATAAGGAGGAAAGGGAAGGAAATGAAAGAAAGTAAATGAAAATCATTTTAATGGGCATATTAGTAAAAATGACATCTTTCCTTTCCTTTCTCTCATGTTCGAGAACATGAAAAATTATTTCTTTCTTTTCATTTCCTTCCCTTTCAAGAACACAAATAAAAAAATTATTTTCCTCTCATTTATTTTCTCTCCCTTTCTTTTCCTTCCCTTTCTTTTCCTTTCTTCTCTCCAAATTCGAGAACACAGCGTAAGCTCTTACCTTGGCACGAGACCGATTGTTTTGAACTAAATCGTCTTTTGATTCTGTGGCTGCATTATATGGCCTCATCCTCGAAATTTCGTTCATTGGCGACAATACTGGTGAGTGGGGTGGACTAACAAGGATCACTCTAAGCTTCTTTTCCTCAATATGCTTGTCATCCCCTTGAAACTGAAAAGGTGATGAATCAGATAAAGCAATTCACCATCAAACCAATATCTTCATGATACCAACCGTGGTAGACGTGATATGCTCCTCTTTTGTCCCGGGGGGAACAATAGTGCTTTGAATTAAGAACTTGTCCATGCATATGAAGTCCGTAGGTGCTACGTTTTGCGCTTGCATAGTAACTGGTGGCACCAAAAGGATAGGAAGAGAAAACATGTACAACGAGAAACTATTATTATTATTATTCTATACTTTGAAACTCAAAATACTCGGCATGTAGAGCATGAATTTTTCTAGAAGTGAAATCCATCAAAGATTCACCAGTTGAATACATTGAGCATGGGTTCGTATAATTAAAACATGACCTATTTTAATCAAAAACACATCTGGAAGATTCTGTCAGGAACAGAAGGGAAAATAATTATTCCAAATGCATAGAGCATAAATATACAAGATGGGCTTGTGGGCCACAAACAAGAAAATGATAAAATGTAAGAAAATTACTAAATGCTACACTTGTTAACTATACATCTCTTTTGAAAATTGAGATGTAAAAAGGTATTGAAGTGCAGATGTAAAGATAACACGTGCCATCATATAATGACCAAACGCATACAGCATCATTCTAGCATCTAGAGTTCCATGTTTTCTTGGTTTCTCTAGGAAATATGAGTGATTATGCTCAGCAAGTGCAAGTAGTACACTAGGAAATATGGTTAAGTGGTTCCTCAATAAAATAACCTTAAGCTCAATTGTCAAGTTCTAGAGAACTTTGTAAGACGTGCTAAGACATGCCTCGGAAGCTAAAGAATAGCATTCCAACTGATACAACTTATATTTCATCTTGCTCCTCAAAATTTGGCTCCAGGATAAACATAGTGAGTAGAAAAAGAATGTCCAACGCCATCTTGGCATGTTAGAGACCCCCCAGGACAAAATACATGTTCAGAAAAACTAAAAACTTCAGGTTGACACCGAATTTATTTCTAGACATATCAATATAACCACAATTAGTGGCAAATCCGCAAGATCCAGCAACACATTCTAAAATTTTCAAAAAGCAAGCTTATACCTGTGAAATCACATGTTAGACTTGGCTTAACAACTCCAGTATTTGGTCTAACACAGTATTTCTGTGAACAGGTAGTTTTAACCTGCCAAAAAATTACTTCAGGTGGCTAAATCTACTGCTATCAAAGCTTTAGAGATAAAACTGAATTTGGATATCAAGAACAAGATCAGAACCTTAAAAGCGACATGGTAATCCGATTTATTGGTCAGTCGAACAGAACAAGAGCTTTGTTTCTTGGATTCAACTGATGCAAATAGAGAATAAAAACATTGAGAGTTAGCCCATTCCTATGAAAATTAAGCTGTAGCCGCTGTAGACCTGCACTTGTATAGACCTAGCCATGCAATAGGGCAAGGTACCCACAAACCAGTGTGTATTTTAAAGTAAAGTCTATACAAGCATGTAACAAATGTTGTTTTTGGCTAGAGATGAGTCAAGCAATGAAGGGTCTCAATCCCTGAGACAAGAATAAAGTGCTTGGAAAAGTGAGACACTTACCGTGGAAACAAGATACGAAGTGTTAAAAAGAAAAATGGGTTTTCACATATAACATGTCCTATACTAATCTAAGGGAGACTTAGTTACACTTGTCAAAATTTTCCAAATTATGATAATGTACTCAATTCCTTTACATCGTAATTCGCATAGTTCAGTTTTGTTCATTATTTAATTGTAGGGTATATATTTAGGCCTTTGATTTAGGCATGATTAGGGATGATTTGATTTGATTTGTATTGTTTAATTTGATTTTGTTTCCCTTTATTCACTGTGCCCTATTAAAAGGGTGGTTTCGCATCCAATAAAACATTGTGTTGCAACCTTAAACCGCTGACATCTGCAGATAAATAGGTAGAATCCTCTGTCTGTGACTTGCTTTCTTTGGCAATGTTTTGTGGCACGGGTTTAGTGACTTACTTACATGGATGGTTGGTTATTTTGAGAGGGGAAATATGGCTACTACAGGCTCTATCTTGTTGGGAATAAAAAATGTAGCTTGAAGGACTATTCGATGGTAGGCAAAAATAGAAGATGTGTTACATTTTTGAATTTTTATCTCTTTTACTCAGAGCTGAAGACTCATTTGCCTCTCCTATCCCTTCCTGCATCTTGCTTCCTGGGCAATCTAGGTTGCTCGTTCAAGTGTAAGTTCTTAACCTGAAGAAGATGAGGCACAAATACCTTCTCTCTCTCACCTTTAACAACTCAAAACTAACAAATCTACAGGTATGCACTGCTAAATTTGAAATTCACAGTTGAATCTATTACTTGATCTTGCACAATATACTTTTATTCATTTCATAAACATCGAGTGTCATGGCATCAACTTTAGTTTCTAGCGGAATTAGCATGCAATCAAACAAATCAAAGAGGACAACCATCTTACATATGAACTTAAGTTCTTTAGGTTGAATCTCCAACAGCTCTGCATTCATCTTTGCATCCGAGACCGGAACAAAATCAGATAGTCATGTCTTACATCCTTGCCTGAAAACAAAAATTGCAATAATTTACCTAAATTCCAGCCAATATCAGAACCAGACATGAAAACACGCATTAATTTCACTTTGATCCATTAGTTCATAAACAGAAGCAAAGAACCCCAATTAATGAAATAACTGAAAACACAATCGAAAACGTAGAGTAGAACAATGAATTGAAATAGCGAAATGCTGAAAGATGAAACTTAATCAGAGAGCAGAACAAGGAGTATAAAGAATAATAATCACCTGAAGGAGCGAGAAAGGCAAGAACGTAATTCAAACAATGGGAGTTGGGGGATGATTACAGATTTTGGAAACGTCCGCGTTGTAGTTCTATGAAGATGGTGAATACCTGTTAATTTCCTCTATCCTCATAGGCGGCAATTTTTATCCTCATTATACGAGTAAACTACAAAGATGGTAAGTTATGGATTAAGCGGTTTTTGGGATTGTTTATAAAAACAGCTCATTTCATATACGGGTAATAAGCAATTTTTGGGTGCTTGGATAAACAACTTATATCGATGTCAAACCGGTAATAAAAAGTTTTTGAAGAAGTTAAACCCTTCTGACTTGACAAGTTGATAAATGCTTTTGTAAAAAAATATAAATTGTTTCAAATAAGCAATCCCTGACACCGCCTAATTTTTTATTGACATGTGGTTTATATTTGTTATGGTAACTAATGGATCATTTATTGAACGTGATATAAAGGAGTTTTTAGTATCGAAAATTTTACCTGCTAAATATTTATTGGATAAATTATTATATAGATATCATTTTAAGGAATTACGATGTTATCTGGTGAGCGTTTGAGCAAGAGTACCCTTTTTCGCTATTGATATATAAGGGCAATGTGATAAGCCATGAACACAAACAACCCTTTCCCTAAGTCCCAAATAGGATTATGTGTATCCACTCAACCAATTCTTGCAAGTAGTACTTTTGGGTACGAAAGGTGTACCCTGTAAATTGAGGGTGTTGCGGGGTATTAGAAGATACAAGGAATATCAATCAAAGAAAACGGAAAAAATCCCATGAAATCAAACGAAAAAGTCTATTGATATTAAAGAAAAAACACTTAAAAAATCTTTGAAATAAACCAAAAAACTTTATAAAAGTTACTCGAAGGGGTGGAATTCGGTTAAAAACAGATTGTGCGACTTTGCTCATCGACCATAAAGGTGCAACCGCTCGGGATAAAATAAATCATGGGTCCACCACTGACTTCAACCACGATCGCTACAAGAACCCACATCTTTCTCCTATATGTTTTAGGCCACACCCATGCCCTTCTCCTATTTGATTCAGTACACATCCATGCATCAATCATTTGCCAGTTTCTAGGTTTAGTGTCCTCTTTTTATGTTGCACATGTGCACACCGCGTATGTTTCGTGTTGAGTAATTAAAAAAATGAAGAATTGAAAATAACTCGTTCAACACAAGCGATGAGAACTCGACAAGTGGGGTTCATCCATCTCATGATCTCGTATTCAGAGTTGGCCAAACCAATTGAGGAAGTCGAGGTCATCATATCCAGAGTTGTCCAAACCGAGGAAGTCGAGGTCTGGTGTATGTGCCATGGCTATGGCAGTGGTTGTATGTGTTATGTGTTACGTGTGTGGTAAAGGGTGGTGGCGAGGATGGGTTTGGAGGAGAGTGTGGAGGCAATGGCGACGGCGTTCAGATGAAATGTGGCTATGAGTCGGAGGCAATAGTCAGTGAAAACGAGCGGAGATGATGGAGGGTGAAAGGGAAGATGGAGAGTATTTAAGTTTTTCCCGCCAAATGCTCATGATGACTAGATAAAAGTTATAAAAAAAAAAAACTATTGAACCTTTATTTGATATAAACCCTAATATCATATTTGGTTTAATGGTCATCACCAACCACCACAAGCACCATCACTTATCCACTGGCAACCACCTTCAACACTATCGGTAACCAACATCAACCGTCGCAGCCACCACCACCATCGGGCAACGATTACCAATGCCTACCACCATTTATACTGTAATACATGAAGAGAACAAGTAACATATTTGATATATTCATATATATGACCAGTTGAATTATGTAAATTAAGAGTTGATTTATAATACGTATAAGTTTATTAAATGATCAGTTTTATGTATACGTATTGTGGTATAAATATAAAGAATGAAGGGACACAACCCTTGGTATGGTGGTTATTAACAGTTACCTGATGGGAGTAACTGTTAACCTGTTGAGAGCGTACATATATGACATTCATACCCTGTTTCATGCCTCATCCAGTACACAAAATCTCTGCATATCCTTATCCATCAAAAGGGCAGATTATGGTGTGAAACTGGAAGAAGTCGATGGAACAACAAGTACAGGAAACAACATCAAGCCCCACTGTACCAGGTTAGATTTCGTTCATTTTCAATCTCGCTTTCATTGATTCATGTTTGATGGTTCACTTATAGAATCTAACATTATACATCCAACACACTACAACTGTTAACACCCAACACCACCCTCCACCGCACCCCCTTCTCCCCACTACCGCCACTACAGTGAACCACCCGGCAACTACCATCGCTACCATCTCCACTTCCATCACCACTGACGAGGCCACCACCACCACTTCATACACACACACACGCATATATATATATATATATATGTATGAAGATTATGCAAACTTGCTTACATATTAGCCTTTTAAATATTTAATTAATTTATGTCGTTTATAGTTATTATCACATGTATAAAACATTAGATATATATGATTTAAGAACAGTTGGTAATACTAACAGTTCTGCTACGTGGTCTAACGTAACTGACATTATAAAAATAGCTTATTCAGTCTTGTTATAGTCGTACCAAACACAAGAAAACTTATTCGGTTTGATCTAGTTCATTCGTGTCCAATTGGTTACCAAACGCTACATAAGGAAAAGAACAAAGAAAATTGTGGCACAAAAATGTTTATAAATTAAATTATTTAATATTTACTTTATTTGTGTTATTTATAACAATTATGTGATATATAAAATCATCAAATTACTTTTAGGTACGTTTATTATGCATAGAGAACTAGACATGACAAGATGATAAAACTGGACATGACTGAATTGGACAAAACCAATGCATGTGTGGTGTTTGGTACGACCTGGATAGGACATAACTAGACAGGTTGTCTCTAAAAGTTATTTGATGATTTTATATGTCACATAATAGTTATAATTAACATAAATAAAATAAATAATTTAATTTATAAGCATTTTACACATTTTTCATATAAGTACATATATAATAGTACCAAATTTGAATGAAAATTTAATATAATTGATGGTAGTTTAAAAAACCCGATCCGTATAAGAGAACATTTATGTTTTATTCGACTTTAAATATCTTTATCAACTGGCGGAGGCACGATGAATATTATTGCAACAACAATGGTTGTGGAGATAGAGACATTTGTGATTAATGGACGATTGTGGTTGTGGAGGACATGAAGGTAGTGAATAGCGATGGTGGTGGTGGTGGTCGATAGTGAAGGAGGTAGTTGCGCTGATGTGGTGGAGGTAGTGGGCAGTGGTGGTGGTAGCTGATGGTGGTGGTGGGCAATGGTAATCAATGGTGGTGGTGGTGGTGACCAGTGGTTTAGTGGTGGTCAATGGGCAACGGTGATTGTGGAGGACGTGAATATGGTGTATAGTGGTGGTGGCGCTCGATAGTGGTGAAGGAATTAGTTGTGGCCGATGTATTGAAGGTGGTGGTGGATAGTGGTGGGTAGTGGTAGTGACATCGGATTTGTGGTGGTGGTTATAGTGGAGGTGGAAAGTTAAGGTTCTTTTTTTGGCTTAATTATGGATTAGAAGATTTAGTAGCCCACAGTGGCAGTGGTGATGGCGATAGACGATGGTGGTCAGTGGCCAACGGTTGTTGTGGATAAAGAGGTGGTGGTGGCGATGAATGGTGGTGGTCGGTGACCGATGGTTGTTGTGGAGGTGGCGATGGACGGTTGTGGTCGGTAGTCGAGGGTGGTTATAGAGGTGGTGGCGGAGGTTGTTGTAGTGGAATAGGAGGTGAATGTGGTCGACGGTGGCGGCTACTACTATCGATGGTAACCATTAAAACAAATATCATCTCATAGTTATAAATCAAGCGAGAGTAAGTTAGTAATGTTATAGTCTCTGTCTCATTATTGTCGAATCAAGATTAATTATCTTTTGTCCCCCTTCTTGTTATTGTCATATCGCACCAAACATAAAACAATGAGTTTTTGTTTTGTTTCATATCGCGTCAAACATGAGACATTGAGTTTTGTCTCGTTTGTCCCATGTAGCAAATGCAGCCTTAAAAACAACTTGTCTAATCATGTCCTAGTATAAACCAAACAGATTAGGCTGATTGCATCCCTCTATATTGTTAAATGCACCTCTACCTAATGATTTTCTCCTCACACATCAACATCAAAACTCATTTTTTTAAACATCTCCAACATATTTTTTCTAAAATAAAGAATCAAAACATAATATTTCTAAAAACAATTATTCATTTTCAATAGATTATCTATTTTAGAGATTTTAATATAAATTATATTATTCTATAACTTATCATCCCAATGCATTCTTTAGAAAAACCTTATAATAACTCAATCTCATTAGTAGAATTGAATAAAATAATCATTTCTTTCTCCAACATTAAGTTTCAGATAATTCCCTATATTTAGAGTTTTCCCTATGATTCTCTATTTTAGAAAACAAGATAAAAAACCAATGGACCATTATAGAGAATAAAAACTTAAAAGCATCTCCAACAACACATCTAAAATAGAGAAAATCAACATTTTGTTTTCTATAGCGCTCTATCAGCTTCTATATATCATTCTCTAAAATAGAGGATAATGAAAGAAAAAAAAACTCCAAATATAAGAAATTATCTAAAAATCTCCAAAGAGATAAAAGAAAAATGAATTTTCTATTTAGTTCACCAATGGTAGTTGAATTAATATCATTTTATATATTTTTTAAAAATGTATTAAAAAAATAAAATTATAAAATATTTAAATAATATAATTAAGAATGAAATATGTAAAATAAAAAATTTGTTGGAGTTAATTATGATTTATTTTAAAGATTTTAATTTTTGTTTTTTATTTTAAATAAATTATAAATATAAATGTTATTACATTTATAATACATGATTTAACTTGATTTTAATATTATCTCAACTAGTTATGTACCCGCACAATGCGGCGGGAGCCATGAATTTTAACGATTTTAAAGTTCCACTGGTTTTATAATATAAGATTTAACGATGATATAAGTTACACTTGGTCTTTACATATTAATACAATTTGAATAAATAAGAGTTATGGTTCCAATTACAGACTATCGATGAAAAGAATTGTATGACAGTTTAAAATCCAATATATTTAAAATCCAACATATTTAAACGACTCCACAAATGTGTTCGATTTACACCAAGAGCAAAGAACCAAGAAATTTGAGTTTTAAGATAAACATTCAAAATCAATAAAGAAAACTACAAATTTGACAGATCATAAGCCATGAAAAGACCAAAAAAATGAGTTTTAGAATGAAATTTCAACTGCTTACCCTCTTTCTTGTCCAAAAACTCAGATTAAGGTTGAATTAATACATGTATATATATATTTCAAAAAAACCCAAGAACATATTAATTCAAAACATATTATACARTGCAATTTGGACAGCCTAAYCCCAAAATATATAGTATATATATAAATAAATAACTATAAAAGTATAAATCGTAAATATTAAAAATATTTTTTCACAGTATATATAATATATAATAATATAATTAAGTMAAAAACTATTCAATATTGKAHTCATTTCGAAGGTATTAACGAGACGATTATAATGGTGTAACTTGTTAAAATAAAAATGTATTTTTTAAACATGTTTTAATTGATACACGATTATGTATATTAATTTGATAAAGGTTTAAAATAAACCATTTAAAAGTAAAGGACGTAAAGTAAATTAATTAACTAATTATAAAGGTATAAAGTGTAATTAAAAAAAAAATTGTATGTGAGAGGGTGTGAGAGGATGAGTGTATGTGAGGAGATGAGAGAGTGAAAAAGTGATATAAAGGGTATTTTGGTCATTTAGTATTTTAAGACTTTTTTTATTGCTTTATAAGATAGTATAGATAACAACCACGGAAAAGTAGATGTCCTGGACAATATCCATACCAAATGATAAGAGTGAACCCTAGGTTGCAATTTCAACACTCAGGGGTGTTTAAGATTATTTATAAAATAACTTATTAACTTATTTTGATATAACACCAATAATAAATATTTTTAAATATTTAGATAAATAATTTATACCCATTTTAAACCAGTAATAAAAAATTTGAAAAAAAGTTAAACCATTCTCAACGCCCCCCTTTAGTATTTTCTGATTACCTAAAAGCTCCAAATAACAATATTCGTGTTGCATTTCCTCCCTTCCATACACGCAAGGCGGCGAGAGTCTGAAGTGTTGTCCTTTTCGCTCATCTGCGACAATGGTGAAAGTAGCAGCGAGGAAGCCAAAAGTGGCCAAGAAGCCAGACAACGTCAACAAGAAGAAGATCGTAAAGACAAAGAAGAAGAAAAATATTGCAGAAAGATCGATCATCCCAAAAACATCAGCTATTCAAGCTGCCGATGACTCTTCGGATTCTGACGGAGAGGACTACTCACCCGAACAGATCCAGAAGCTCATCGAACCATACACTAAGGATCAGTTAATCGAATTCATCATCAACGCTGCGATAGCAAACCCTTCGCTCTACACACGCATTCGTGACGCTGCCGACAGTGATGTCTCTCATCGGAAGATCTTCGTCTACGGCCTTGGCTGGGACACCACCAAGGAAACCCTAACTCTTGCCTTCAAACCATACGGCGAAATCGAGGATTGCAACGTCATCATCGACCGCGTCACCGGGAAAGCCAAGGGTTTCGGGTTCGTTCAATTTAGGTCACGGAAAGGGGCAATGAAGGCTCTTGAAGAACCAAAAAAGAAGATTAATAACCGAATGGCGTCGTGTCAGCTGGCGTCTTTGGGGCCTGCTGTCGCTGGCTCCATGGACAACTCCAATAGGAAGATATATGTTAGTAACGTTCAACCCCATGCCGATCCAGAACGACTGCGGGCGTTCTTTTCCAAGTTTGGGGAAATAGAGACTGGTCCATTAGGGTTTGACACGTCAACAGGAAAGTCACGTGGCTTTGCTTTGTTTGTGTATAAGAATCAAGAAGGGTTTAGAAAGGCTTTAGAAGAGCCTTACAAGGTATTCGAAGGACATCAATTGCATTGCCAGAAGGCAGCTGACGGGAAAAACAAAGGGACTGCAACGTCAGCGCCGGTGACAGTTACTACACCTGTTGTACAACAACCTACTCCGCAAATGCTTGCTGCGGTTGCTGCGACTCAGAATTTTGGATTGTTCAGTCAGTCTCACCTGGGATTGAACCCTATGTATGGAGGGTTGTTTTCAAACCCAAACGCAGGGTTTCTTGCAGCAAATCCTCTTTATGCTTCAGGGGTTTTGGGGCAAATGGGTGCTGTTGGTGGTGCACCAGCCGGGTTAGGTAGTTACTACGCTGGTGCATCCCACGGGCTGAGCATGGGTGTTGATAATGGGTCATTGCTAGGGGAATATGGCGGGGCTACTCTCCCAGTGATACAGGGTTTGGGCCTACAAAGTAGCTACCCGAAGAAAAAGGTGGGGGCTGCTTCAGCTTCAGCCTCTGGTTCCAGGTCTCAAGGTGCTGGTGGCTCTTTCAGTGGTTATCCATCTCATTTGTGGTATGATCTAATGGTTTTTTGGCTACTTTCTATATATATGAGTATTAACCTAGCTTTATTGTTTTGCGAATGCATTGTTGTAGTGTTATTTCACATTGCAGTAAGCAATACAAATTTAGAAGGGGAAAAAAGGCTCTATTGGGTCCAGCCAGAACATGTCAACCTATTTTTACTAAGTTCCTGTATGCATTTTAGATAGGAATCCTTGATTTATAATAATTATGTTCCATTAATTAATATATTTTACAGCAAGCCTTTTGTCACAAAGGAGTTGGGGGTATGAAATGAGGTAACAAGTAACAAATTTTGGAAAGAACTATACTTCAGAAATTTTTGTAGGTTAAAACTTTAGAAGGATATAGATCGACATTCTGACAATGATAAATGCATGTTAATGTTGACTACCAAGTTCTAAAATATGGAGTTTACGTTGTGTATGTTAATAGATCATTCATGCAAGTTTTTCTTGTGAACATGGCTAATATTGATCTCCTAGTCAATGCGGATTAAAACAAGGGATATCGATATACCAGAACTTTTGTTGGTCAAAACTCTCGAAGGATATATATTGACATTCTGACAATGATCAATACATGTTAATGTTGACTACCAAGTTCTAAAATATGAAGTTTATGTTGTGTACGTTAATAGATCATCCATGCAAGTTTTTCCTGTGAACCTGGCTAAGATAAAACCTCCTAGTCAAGGCGGATTAAAACAAGGGATATTGGTATACCATTGTATCTCATGTTCATTTGGTGCTTCTAGTTCATACATCACATGACAGTGCAAATACGGCTTCTATAAGGTCACCGCTTGGTGGGCTTTACTTTCTTTACAAATTAAGTAACACTTTAAGATGCAACATATAGTTTTAGAGTTAGCAACGTGGTTTCTTGTTATCTTATTTTATGATCCTGTAGGAATGTCACATGAAGATGAAACTTTAATGTTTCTTAGTGTTGACATGGTCATTCCTTTAGATAATCGTCCCAAGGACAGGTTCTTGGTTCGAATATCAGCTATAAAGTATGCCAGAAGGCTAATCCATGCTAGTTTTTTCTTTGGGGCAGGATGGCAGGTTAATAAAAATTACCTGGCTTTTACCATTCACAACTCTGATGTTAACATACCACATTGAATGCTACATAACATGCTCACGTAGTGATCCTAGATGTCTACTTCACATGAAGGGGATATACTGCTTACACTAGGAAACTATTTTATTTTGTGGATCTCACTTCTCCTTGAGAATATGCATCATGTTACCCCAAAATAGGTGTTTTTCTAATACTGAACACAAGACTTCATGCAACTTCTTATTTTGTTTTTTTATAACATATCACCAAGTAGGAATATAGTATAGGAAAATCTTTCATTTGTGATGTCAGTCATAGAGCCATTCTTTTGTAATGTAATCCCAAGAATGGTTGACATTGGTTTAGATAGAAGACTTACAGAAATAATATAGACATCAAGGATATCTGAAGATTCAAAGAATATATATTGTCATGGCTGAATGTGAGTTGAATTATGAAAACATGATAGTTTTTAAGTTGATCGATGAGGCGATGAAATGTTCAATAAAATTATTTATGTATGGTTGTAAGGCACTTTAACATATCAGGATGCTCTTATTGGTTAGTTACATCTTAAAAGGTGTCAAGTAGGTAGCTAGTAGCTACGAGTATTCCACAAGCAGTTTAAAACATCTTAGTTCACACATTCACAAATAGTGCATGAATGATGAAGAAAAGGGGTCTGACAAGTGACAAGTTAGAAATATAAGGTTGCTTGAAAGATGGTAAAAAGGTAGGAAAGGTGCAAATGATATCAACCAAAATCAATATCCTTGACTTAGTTGGAGAGGAGGCTGGACTTGAAGATGGTAAAAAAGTTGCTCGGAAGATGGTAAAAAAGTTGCTTGAAAGATGGTAAAAGGTAGGAAAGATGCAAATGATATCAACCAAAATCAATATTCGTGACGTAATTTAAAGTGTACAATCTTTGGTAGGACGAATTTGATTTAAAACATGTACAATATTGAAGATGCTGAACCAAGACTAAGCAATGTTAGTTTGATTTCGATCAGATCCGGGTTTTGAACCAAACCGAATTAAGACCTGGTTTTTCCAAAAATCCTAGCACCAAGAACCAAACTGAACATGCCTGGTTCCAATCTAGTGCGGTTTAGTGGTTTCAATGGCTCAAACCACTTTTTGATGTATCAGATGTTAAGACTAACGTCTGCAACCATGCCTACTCATACTTGATCAGTTCTCTACTGCACCCCGGTGCTTGGTGGAACCTACATGTGCTTGTAAGTGATTGTTTAGTGTCTATATGCAAGTGCATTATATGGGAACAACCTCTCTACCTTTTGGAGTAGAGGCAACGTCTGCGTAGATCCTACCCCCTACCTCTGTGGGATATACTGGGTTGGTTTGGTTATTAGAAGACATTATATCTAGTGATGGCTTATGACCCGAGGATGGGAACGTTTTGTAAGGCCAATGACTGAATATTTATCTCCACCTTTGAGTGCATGTGTGATTGTGTGGTAGGATTGGCCCATGGGATGATATTACTTTGCATGATGACCTGTGGTTGGAGATATATTGCTGTTGTGGAGCACTGACTTTAATGTGACTCATGGCCATGGGCTTAGTCTATGACCAAAGTGTATGATTTAAAGCCCTGGCAAAGATTTCTGCAAGATGCTCCATTTTTAGAAATATATTCGTTCAAGAAGGGCTCCAGAAGATGTTGATTGTAAGTGAGAAGATTGGTTACGGAGAAAGATGAAGCCAGATTCATATTCACATACAGCGTCAACTCCCAACTATTTATGCGTTGTGGCCTGTAGGACTTGATTTATGTCACTGGCGATTTGTAGAATACAGTGGTCATTCTGGGTATAGCCCTTGTATTGGACTTAAGCTAGGGGCTTATTTAGAGTCTGTGAAGGTTTGCTCCTTCTACACATTCTTGTTTCTTTTATATCGAGAGTTCTTGTATATATGATGCAGAACGGAAGGGAAGAAGAATTCCAAACACAATTCTTAACAACACGAATCTGGTCATCCTGACGGCAAGCTTTAAAAAGAATTATTATCATATCTCAAGAATCTAAAACAATGAGTTTAAGTAAACTCCTAAAAAACCCAAATAGATCTTTTTTATCCTAGAAGACGTAGTTTCCTAATTAAACCATAAACTTAGAATACCATATTAAAGCTAATGAAATGATAAACAAATCAATCCTTCCTTGTAGTGAGTTTCTTCTTCTACTCCTTTTCAAACTCTAAGACCAGCGGTCCTACTCCTCTTCAAATTCCAAGGCTAGCTGTACTACATCAATATATCAATATTTAGAAATGCTTTTTTGATGATTTCAGTAAGATTCTGCAAATGTCTTATGCTTGGCTTCATGAATGGTGCAAATGCATCGATTTATGCTTTTTTTCATAGAATTACATCAATACATGCTTTTGACTTGTAAGCTTTTGATTGGTGATTGGTGAAATGACTACACAAGTACATAGAGACGAGTGGATATAATATGGCGTAGATTATTTAGTGAGTTTTATTCTTCTCTGCTGTGTGAGGTTAGGACGTTTGGTGCTGGACTTATAGATCAGGGACAACAACCCATACTCTAGAAAAATCGTCCACAAAGGAAACCAAATCTCTGATTGCCCAATGGAGACCATTACAAGCTCATTCGCAGGGTTAAAGCGAATGAAGTTTCAACAACCAACCAACATCAAATATCTAACTACCCAAGATTTGATCAGCAGAACAAGTATAACCAGAACACTATTGTTTAGTCCCAAAGACTAACAACAACTTCGACAGCCGATTACTGCAGATTAACAACCACCAAGTTACAGTGCACTAGATGACAACCCCTTGGCAACAACTGTTTCAAAAGCTGATGATGAGCCGAAGGTCATGATTGTCAGAAGCTAAGAAATGATAACAAGAGCAGTACAAGTGTTTGTTGAAGCTCTAGCCAATACAACGACGTATTACGGCATTGATCTAGAGTCTTGGACGACAATTGCTAAGCTGCCAGCCTCTTTTGATGCACACCCAGACTATGTTATGCGGCGGCCCTCCTAATTGAAGGGGTTGACATGGTGGGGTTTTCTGGGATTAGGCTGTTTGTGATATCCTTTAAAGGAAATGGAGAAAAAACATGTTTCAATAATGAGATAGAAACGGTATATAGAGTGCATGGCAGGTTAACAGACTGGGATATAAAACTCTTGATACAAATATAAATAGTAACATGCTATATATATATTTAATTGGCATGAGCATGACTGAGATTGAGGTAGATTTTGGGAGTACAGGCAGAAGAGAGATAGAGAGATAAGCGAGATGTTAGTGAGAAACATCTTGTATGATACATATTAATCCATAATCCTCTTCAACTATGGAAGTCCACATCTTGTAACCTACTATACTATCTATCATTTAGGTGCAGTTAATCCCTATACCATCTCTTAAAAGACACTTAACCCTCTACAGTAACTTGCTAACAGATTGAGATGGCTAGGGCTAATCAGGACAGAAGACCAAAATAGGGTAATGGGCCATGATCATCAGTGTTCAGCCATATGAGTTCCCTTGCTCTTTATATGCTTTCCCAGTAGTCCATTTCCTCATCCTATCAAGAATCATTTCAAGGATCATAAAAGGATGGTGAGACAAATCTGAGAAACCCAAGCTCTATTCAGTATGAAACTATGGACCAAGGTAAACTGAATGGCTTATGTATATTGAAAAAATTCTGTAAGCCATTTTTTCATCTTAAAAGGGCACAAGAAATTATGTATCTGACGTGTAGTATAGAACATTTTCAATATGGATCAGTTTCATGTAAAACAAGGAACCTCTCAGGTAAGCTCATATGATTGTAATATTTCATATCGTCGATTGAGCTTCAACATTGTGATCAAAATTTTCAATCAAGGAGTTCTACTAGTTGGTCCAATTGATAACATAACATGTGAGGTGACTTATATAGCCTTTTGTGGATGCTAGAGAAGTGGTTGAAGGTTTCAGTTCGAAGTTGGTTTAATGATGACTCTGGCAAAACCTCTGGGGCCAACTAGTTCAATTGAGGTGATTTATATTTTCTAATTGTATACCTCATATTTTTAAAGAATTGCTTAAAAAAGGACTAAAATCATCTCATCTGTACATGATTTTGTAGAGGCTTACTAAAAACAAGGGGAAACATAAAAAACTTCCCCCAGAAACTTCTCATCGTGATACCCTTTTTCTACGGTTAGATTAAGGACTTATGTTGCGAGTGTTACCACTATGAGAATAATAAGTAGGTGAACATCACCCTGCTTTTAACCCTGAAGTGCTATTAATGCCGACTGTATGGGTCATCTAAAGAAATGTGTCAAATGATGCTTTTTCACTAACTTTTTTTCTGGTTATATAGGTGCTTCATAAGAATTGAAGTCGAGTTCTATGTCTGGATTCATTAATCGTGTTATTATTCTTATTGTTGCTCTTGCTCTTATAGGAGTGTTCCTCCTTCTGGATGACCACTAGCTATGATCACTTGACCAATATATTGGATTATAAAAACAAAAGGTGGTGCTGTAAAGAAATTCTTTCGAAATATTAGATATTTTGATATAATGATAGAAAAGGAGTTTTTCATCTCAAAATATGTTTTTATTTGATATTTTATATATCTATAATATATAAGTATGTATGTATCTAAAATACATGCATCTTGGTTTCAGCCCAATCTTTTTACATGTCCTATTCATCAACCTATTAGGACGAAGGTAGTACTTTCTGTTTGTTTGTTGGTTTTTCCATGACTCTTTTTGTTTAATTTTATTTTTGAAGTTGAGATGTTGCACTACTACTACTATCTTTTGAAGGTCAAGTGTACTGTTCCCTCTTTACATGTTGAGTTCTGTATTTGCAGATGAAGTGCAGCTGCCATTGAGATTAATTTTCCCTCAGTATTGAAGGATCTGTTTTAAAAGGCTCTTTTACTGTTGGTTGCTATACATTGGAAGCTCTCCATGTACAAAGATCTTTTGTATTTCAGCTGTCTTTCCTGAGTCAAATTCTTCTCCTTTTCGCCAATTTCCTTTAATTTTTAGTATACTTTCATAGTTTCCTTGTATGGATTTGATGACTTTTTATCGTTCATTATATTTTAGTTTTCTTCCTAATTTTTCTGGGAATATTTTCATTGATTTTTACCTTATTTTCCTATTACCTTCACTATAGCAGGTTATGTTATCTCCTTTCTACTATTGTGTAGGATGCTTTCGGTTTGTAGGTTGATTTGATTTGCATAATTCAAGTTGTTTTCTGTATCGTCAAAATGACATGGCTTGATTTTTTTCTTCTCTGATTAGTTTTACAGTTATATTAATTTTTCTTTACTTTTTTGTTTCTTTTTTATTAGCAGTGTTGTCTTTGTTGTTATTTTATCATTGTTATGTAGGCTGCACTTGTTCGGATATTGAACTGGCATTGCGATTTTTTAAAAGAATGACTACGAGATTGCTATATATAAATATCGCTTCCTTTCTCAATCAGAAAACATGGAGGAAGCAACAACCTTCTTCTCCCTTTACTTTATAAATTTCTATGAATTTTTTATATGCATCATGACTATATTTCCTTTCTTCTTTGTTTTTGTCATGTTAAACTGGTCTGTCCATTGCGATGCATGCTAGCAATGAAAAGGTAGGTTTGTAATATTTGTTTTTTTTTAACTGTGGGTATCTGCGTCAATTTGCATGAAAGTTATTGCTAGAAAAACCTCTGGTGTCCAATGAGGAGCAAACCCAGAATTTGACTGATTGAGCTACCCTGGCTTGGTGTCGCCCCCATTGGCCTTTTGGTTTTAGCTTTCCAAGTGTTAACTTCTGGGTTGCTTTCATCACCTTTTATTGCTGAAAACAGCCAACATGTTTGCATTTGTTCTCTTTCAATCTACAGTTGGTGATTGGGGACTTAAATTAACCTAAATTTCTGCATTTTCTTTGTTCATATATCTGTTTTGGTTTTCTGAGGCCAGCAAATCTAGAATTCCCTCCACCCCATAATATTGTCCCATTTTGACTTAACTGAAATGCCTAAAGACGGTGCTCAAGTCAGAAATGCGATCTTCTAGGGTAGGAATTCTTAGGGTTCCCTTATCAGGGATCCCTGGAGAAGAGGATCAAGTTGGCCCTGATTGTGATTCGCTTCTTTCTTCGTGCAAGCCTTTGGTGAGTCAAACAAAATACTTGGTCAGAATCCAAAATGATATTGATTTACAGCTTCACTTTTTTAAATTGGGATGTCCTCGAGTTTTGAGGATGTGATGAGTCAAACAGGAAGGAGTGCAACCGTTTACCACAGGGCTACCATGCAAAGTGTTCCCTAAGACTAAGAGAATACATTCACCCTTAAAAGCCAAAAGGGTACCCGCGCTAGCTTCCATAATTTTGTGGCGCCTTGAAGATAACAACCACGAAATTTTTCATGGCCAACCATTAGGGCATTCGCCTTGGGTTCAATTTCAGACGTCCATAACAATTGTGGCCACTGAGTTTATTAGGCCGATGTTTTACAGTCGATAGTTTGGAACACCTTTCAAAAAGAAAAAAAAAATCCATGGTCCTTAGGTCATGTAAACAGCATGCAAATAGAAATGAAAGATTGCATGCAACATAAATTCTCATATGCCCTTTCAAAACTGATGGTCTTGGTGCAATAGGGCCGTAGTACGTGCATAACATATATTTTATTTATATAGATTTGTGCTCACTTACCAATCAAATGTTGATTTCTCTCGACTGTCTTTTTAAAGTATATAATATTTATGTATAATAAATAATCATGTATATATCTCATCTTTGATAAGACTTGAACTCTAGATGTGGAGATCAGGTTCTATCACTGAGCCAATGACTTGATGTGGAGACTAGGTTTCTCTTACCCATGTCGACACTGACACAAAGGTAAAGGAGAAAGGATGATATGGTACTAGTGTTGAGTATATTTGCAGGCTGTAAGGTCTTTTGGTGAAAGGAGGTTTTTGTGTATTTATTTTTAGTTTTTTTGCGGTGATACAAATTGCGTTAATCCAAATTCATATACTACATTATTTTTAGAATGCCAAGATATACATTGCGATATGGGTTGGTGCTGGTTTAAATTGAAATACCAAGATAATTAGATGCTTACAATGTGGGTGTAATTGGAGATGTCTTGAAAGATTAGTTTGTACGATCCTGAGATTCTTTTGGGGGGTCTTTGTTTTAAAAAATCAAAATAATGTAATGTTTCATGCTTAGGTTTAGAGAAAGCTGAAATCGATAGGATTTCTCTAATCCTTTCTTAGAAAGAGAGTGAAATTCTTTCCGCAGGGACCAGAAGATTGGATTTAGTCGTAAAAAATTTAAATGTTGGATTTCTTTTTCTATGAGGAATTATATTTTGATTTTTTTTTCTTGATATGTAATAAAATTTATATCGCGGTCTATCGTACGGATATACTAGTATATATGAATTATGAAATAGCAAACTTGCTAATGTTATGAACCGGATGCCTCAGCTAGTGTGACTCCTCGAGAAAAAGTCCTCTTGATGTTGCCCTTTAAAAAGAACAAATACAAGTATACGTAGTAGGTTTTTTCATGATCAATATTTCCATTCTAAAATTTGAGCGTTTCGAATTGAGAAAATGAGAATGAAAGTCTTTTTTTTCGTTGCTTGTAAAATTCTCTATATATACCGTTACTCCTCCATGTCAAACAAATGATAGGGAATGAAAATAAAAATAACAAGGGAATGAAAATGGAAATGAATTTTGTATTTTCTAGTTTAACCTAAAATGAAATTTTAATATGCTCATTATATTATATAAAAATAAACACTTATTTTATTATCAGTCTCATTAATTACTGCTCGATACCTCTAACCAAAAACCCCTTAAAAAAGATATCAATTTTGTAAATCTTAGTTGTCATATTGGATAAAATTCCAATGATCTAAATACTGTTTTTGTTGCATAGCACTATAAAATCCAATAAAATTCTTTAAAAATCAAATTCAACTAATCAAGAGATTCAAATTAAAGAACAGGGACCCTATAACACCTTCGTGTACATTATTAGATGACATTCTTGATCATAAAAAACCATTGTTGGTAATTATCTTTTACTCGGCAAGCGTTACTGAATAAGAGTCTTCTCCGTCATTTACCATGCAAGATTCTCTATTTTCGTCGTACCCAGTAAGGTAATTGACACTGTTCGTAAATATCTCCTAAGACGATCAAATCTTGTTAGAAGAAAATGAGACTGTTGCTATATACGTCTTTTTGTTTGCAAAGTAAAATCAATCGACTTTTTTATATAAATATTTTCACAAAAACGTTCTCCCTAATCGTTCGTTAACGGGTCCATAAATTTAAATGAATCATTTTGTTATACGAACAAAATAAATTTTAGATCTTTCTTATAATTTCAAGGTTTTCTTCTTTTATTAATTGCTTAGAAAAAAAAAGAACAATCACAAGGGAGGAGATCACCTCCGATAAATAGAAGAAAACAGAAAAGGAAACCAATAATTAAGGCAATAAAGAAGGAGGAAAATATGGAAGAGATAACACCAAATATTGAAAGCCAATACTCCCCCTCAAGCTGGAGCGTGCAAATTAACAATGCCCAGCTTGTCAAGAAGGAAACGAAGATGAGCAGCCCCAAGGCCCTTCGTAAGAAGATCAGCAAGTTGGAGCTTCGAGTCAATCGGCATAGGACAAATTTCTTTCGATTCAACACGTTCACGAACGAAGTAGCAGTCCATTTCAACATGTTTAGTGCGTTCGTGAAAGACGGGGTTATTGGCAATGTGTCGAGCAGCTTGATTGTCACAGAAAAGTGTTGTAGGTGCGAGTTGGGGAAAACCCAGTTCCTTTAAAAGCCATCGCATCCAAACAAGTTCGCTAACAGTGGTGGCCATAGCCCGATATTCAGCCTCAGCGGAAGAGCGTGAAACGACTGACTGCTTTTTGGTTTTCCACGAGATAGGGGCACCACCGAGAAGTAGCAAGTAACCAGTTCGAGAACGCCTTGTGAGGGGACAACCAAGCCAATCTGAGTCAGAGTATGCAACTAAACTCATGCCACCGTCTTTAGGTAAAAGTATGCCTTGACCAGGAGTAGCCTTGAGGTATCGTAAAATTCTGGACAGAGCATCCAAATGATTCTGGCGAGGATCTGAAACAAATTGACTGAGRGTGCTAACAGAGTAAGCAATGTCTGGACGAGTGACCTGAAGATAAAGTAACCGACCAATGAGTCGCCGATAATGACTGGCATCGACCTTGGGCTCTTTGTCATCCATGACAAGTTTTATGTTTTGTTCAATGGGGAAAGAACTCGGGCGACACCCTTCCATGCCACAATCTTCCAAAATGTCGAGCGTGTACTTTCGTTGACTCAAAACAAGTCCACTTGAAGTCTTAGCCACTTCAATGCCAATAAAATACTTTAACTCACCGAGATCTTTTATGCTAAACTTGTCATGCAAGCTTTGTTTGATTTCTTGTATCTTTTCTGAATCATTCCCCACAATGATGACATCATCAACGTAGATGAGGCTGGCAATGAAGGTGTCATCC